AGAGAGAGAGAGAAACAGAGAGAGTGAGACAGCTTAAGGGCGAAATACCTACGGCTCTAACTCTAAATACTTATTACACTTGTTATGCTATCGATAAGTTTATATTATATCTCTATCGTGACAGAATTTACGACGTATTGTACGTGATATTATATTTATACGGGCTGTTACACACTCTATCTCCGAAACTTCCATTTCACCGCGCGGCCGAGACAGCGAACGTGGACAGCGAACGTTAGCACACGAGAAGCGCAGGAGAGTAAAAAAAAAAGAAAAAGCGGGAAGGGAGAGGACAAGAGACAGATACTTACTCGAAGAAGCGAAGGAAACGTGAACAGCATCCGACATGCCGACTGATACACACATATGTCTCTTTCTCTTCGACCGGGGATATCGATTAGTCCGCGAGATTTTCACATTTGGAACCGAATCTTTATTGAGAAAAATCGCCCCGATATGACGGGAACTACGAGAGAAGACCGAGAGAAGCCCGACGCGAGGAGAACAAGTATGGAGCAGGGTCAGGACCTCGGGGCTGGCGGAGGCAACCGGAAACCCGGACCAACAGAATTTATCGCGAGTCCACCGTGAACTCGAACGTACGATCGAATCCATGAATCCAGCCAGCTGACAGACGACAAAATGCCGGTGCTTCTTCGAGGTCGCCGCCGGGCCGAAGGTTGATTAATGGCGACAAGCGAGACGAGAATGGGTTCGACCTGTCCGGCGAACGAGAAAGGGATTAAAACGGAAAGTGTGGTGGTCCGCAGTTGGATCGCGAGAAAGAAAGAGAAAGAGACAGAGAAATATAACGAGTACGTTTACATCGATGCAGTCGACAGAGCGTTGGAAGATCTGTGATGCGAAAAACAATAGACGGGCGAAGAGGAAAAGTGCAGTTGCGAAGACTATCGCGGGTCGAGAGCCGGGAGAAGAAAATCCTGAAATCAGGCAATCGGGAGGAAAAAGAATGAGGGTGAAGAGGGGGTGATTCTCCGCGACGGAGAGACCGCTCTTTCGAGACCGCGTGCAAACGATAGCCTCCTCCCTTACCTTTATTCCGCGCCGGCTAAACGCGGAGAAACAATTCGACGATGTTTCCCCATGTCCCACAGCAATTTCCTCCGCGCCCATCTCATTCCGCTCCATTCGCAATCTCTCCCTCAGATCTGCGACCAAAGGCAGAGCATTGTGCGTGCGTGCGTGCGTGCGCGCGCGGGGCCACGGAAATCAAAGCGAGAAATTCATCTCGCAGTTTTGTAATATCCAACAAGTCGGGCGATTATTAGAATATCCGTCGCTTCGAGCATTGAGAGAGAGAGAGAGAGAAACGAGGACTTCCAAGCTCGAATCATCGTCTGGTATCATCGTTGTTCCTGCACGTCGTCTTCCTCGCGCCATTCCGTGGCCGCGCGCCCCCTTCATCCAAGACTGTAATTATACGAAAATAAGGAAGGCCACACCCTGCGCCACACATTTGCGTTCACGCGATCGGCATCGCGCGCCCTCCATTTCGTTTTTTGAACTGTTACTGAGCTTGTTTTTAATAAACTTGTTTTTTTGTTTGTTAGAACGGCAGCGGACCTGGCGGCGAATCCGGTGGACGAGCGAACGGGTGAGTACGTCGCGTCGTTATTATTTTCCTAATTAAGCCTTTAATCCCATAATTATGCTCATATCGCATTAATTTCAACGCATTCAGATTTTATATTAATCTCCGGAGTATTATATTTTTTAAGTTATGGCTGCGCACTCATAGCCTAACAACAATGTTTCGTGATATATAAAATGAATATGCGAATTAATTTCTTCTTTCTTTCTCGCATTATTTTTACTGTAACTAATAAGTATCAAAAGATAAATTTTATACAATACACTTACACGGTAGAAAAGCGGAGAAATATCTGTATTGATTTTTCTAAGGAATAAGACATCTCAATCATTCTTCTTGAATGTCAAATGGAAAATAGGGCAAAATCAATAGTGAAATTTCCTCCAATCCACACATTACACATATCCGATAAACTTCCAATGTTGAATCGCACAAATGATGTATATCGCGGTCTGTCATTACTCGATATAAAAAAAAATTGAACCACGTAAGTGACTCTTAGATCTCGGAAAATCCAGATGTTCGACACTTACCGTGTCATTTTCCTAAAAATTGATGTTTATAGCAGAAATATTTATTATATTTTTGCTAATATCAATAAAGATTATCGATAAATTGATGAAAATAATATTAAGCTTTATCTTAATTTTCATATTTCTTCACATTTTTTTCGAATTAAATTTCTCAGGAATAAAAAAGCGTTACGAAAAATTCCAATTATAATTTTATTCTTACGATGACGCGGCGAGGAACATTTAGAGGAAGATTTAGATTTGCGGAAACTTGGATTTTCTAAAAACTTTCTAACGAGTACGAAATTTCTCTTGTGTTTCCAGCAGATTTTCAAACATTCTGAATCGCGCGAAGAGATCTCGATTGGAAATATGGCTAACTCAAACCCGTAGTTTGATGCAAAGGTTCAGTTCATCCTCAATCCATGCAGATGAACCGAATCGATCTTAGATTCAACTTGCAAACACTTTGTCGATGTTTATACTTTTGATATTTATTGCTGTTCGAACATTTCAATTTTCTGTTCAAATATTAAACTTATTTCTAAAATTCTCGAATATATTTGTAGCCAAGGATTATACTTGAGAAACATAATTTCAACGAACATAACAATATGTTAATAATAACAATGTGTTATAATAATAGTAATAATAATAATGTTATAATAAATAATACAACTACAATTCTATACATTTACAATCCTACAAAAATATGAAATATGAATCATAATGTAGTGATAAAAGCGTTGAAAATTGCAAGGTCAGCACGAATTGTTTAAGCGAAAGATAGACACGACCACAGACGTGCTGATGCAGCTTCCGAAATCTTTTCTGTTCCAGACATCCAGGCGACAATCCCTTCTACAGCACCATCGACAGTATGCCGGACATTCGACCGCGCCGGAAGTCGATACCATTGGTTTCCGAGCTGGTAGGTAGCCGATTGCCCATTAACACCATTCCGCCATTGTCTCCGCGTTATATATACATATGTATAAGTACACCGTGTACACACATACATATATGTACATTGCCTGGACCGTGTCCATACATTTATATATATATATATATATATATATTCGTCGGAAATAATTACCGATCCGACGAAACGTTTTCTCGCTGTTGTCGCCATCGTTATCGATGTCGTCGTCATCGTCGTCGTCGTTCTTCTCGTCCGCAGTCACCTCAAGTCATCCGCTCAAAACGCGATGTTTCCCCGTTTTCGATATTTTCACGAGTTTGACCTCTCTCTCCGATCTCCGCGGCGATTATGCGGCCGGTTGAACTTAATTAATTTCCACCCAACTAGCTCGAGGCTGTCTCTTAGTACGCCCGGCTGTTTTAGAATTTTAACGCGCGTCCCCTTTGGTACGCTTTGGGACTCTCTGTGCCGCAGATTTGCACCAGCAGAGTGAAACAGAGCTAGAATTAATTACCGCGATGTGCACGTCGTGTGCACCGTTCGCGAGATGCCCACGCGAGATACGTGAGCGTCCAGCTTGAACGACAACGTATAAATTATAATCGTGAAAGTTTCCCGACACGGCACGGACACGTGGAAATTTTTATAAAATACTTTCGCGACGTATTGAATATTTTGCGCGTATCTAGTTTATTATATATATATATATATATATATATATTTATTTATTATATATGTTATATATATATATTTATTATATATGTTTATATATATATATATGCATATATATTTGCATACCACTGAAGTTGCCACGTACGGAAACCTGAAGTATACCTTCATTCACCCGGGGCAAACGTAGCAAAATCCATTCGCACGAGATGCACACCGGTCCTAGTGTCGAGGGTAGCTATAAAATATGAACCGATATTCAACACGCGATCAATCGGGCGACACACCCGGTGCTATCGATTATACTAATCTCGTCCGCTAATATATCCCAACGGACGGATATCGCGGCCTCGCCGCGTTTTATTTACTTCGCCGCATTTCGCCGCGGATAAGCTGCAAGGGACGTAACTTCGCGTTCTCTCCCACTCTCAACTTCTCTTAGGAATACATTAAGTGAAGTAGGCGGCGAGAAGTTGTAACTGAAAGTTACCTCGAGCTTAATTAGTTTGTCATCCAGCGGAACGATACCACCGCGATTCTCTCGATTACAAAACAGCCATCGCCCTTCCTTTCTTCATCCCCGTTTCGCGAGACGACGACGACGACGACGGCGACGACGATGATCTTCAAACTGTTCTCGTCGCGAGATCTAAGTTTGTGTTATCATGCACGTCGCATCTGAGGATCTGCCGTGTAAAATCGTATGAGAGACATTCTCGTTCATGTTTCAAGAAAACGGAAGATCTTTCGATGCGGCTCGTAACAAACGTGTATCTCGTCGTGATCTAATTGCGTGTTTTACGTTTCAGTGTTACCGTCGCTTTTCGCGACGAATCGAATTGCTAATTTTTCTAAAAGCCATCGCAAAGCGCCAACGAGCAAATCTAATGAAATATTTCCTGTCATGTGTAATGTCCTCTTTTCCCGATTCCCTGAAATCAAAAAGCATAAAACTTCATAGTCCGTTGATAACCGCAGTTACCTATTTTGTTCGAAATATTGAATAAATAAATGAATAAATAAATGAATAAAATAAATTTATCGAGATTGATCAAACGTAAATAATATTGAGAGAGAGATCTCATTATTTCAATAAAATTTAACAAATATAATTGCACCAGTGACGATTATGCTCAGAAAACGGGCGAGAGCATTCCCGCCGCAAAATTTAAATTCGCAATTTGCTGATGCGACGTTTCTCGGGCGGTGCCTTTATTTCCGATCGTTCGATCGAAAATACTAGAAGACTCGCGATTTGAAATTCGGATAAGTCGGCGATTTATTCCGCTGATCGCATAAACAATGCGCGGAATAAAGACAAGTAGTCGCTTTATCCTTTTAAGTAAGGTCGTATCTTCATTCACCTCGACCAATCGAATCAATAGAAATGTTGGACTTGATTAATAAAAGAGAGGAAAGAAACAAAAGGATAAAGCTGAGTAGTTTATTTTAAAGCAAGGAGATGATCGTGTTTATGATATTTATTTTCAGTTTGATTATTATATACGCGATAATAACGCACGTGCTCAAAACGATGATAAAAGTGTCTTGACAATGTCATGGATGCCACTGACTAAGAGCTCGCGTGTGCAACTAGTGCGTGATGCTTTAAATGAAATTCTTAAGTAGTTTATCGATCGCGCTCCGGAGAAAAGCACCTAGTCGGGATAAGTGTGTCGCGGAAAATGTGATTTAATTTAACACTAGGAAAGTGAAACGTTTGGCAGTAAAATGTAATTTCATCGGGACAAAATAATAGAAAATTTTCCAATTAATCCGTATGATATATTTAACGTGTCCCATTTTGAAAATTGTAAATCCCAGATTACCTAAGAATCCTAAATACATTCTCCTACAGATCGCACATCGATCCGACGTTAATAAAGAAACTCACCGATCCCGTTTCTCCCTTATGAGCACTGTACAACCCTATTCCCGAGGGAACATAGGTATCCATCTTTAGATCCCAGAATCCAATGTCTGTTTCCTTGTATGTTTGTTTCTTCCCTGTTTAATGTTAACGATTCACATGTAATTGTTGTGCACATCTCATATATCTCTGGAATCCCAAAGTCTCGCGACGTGAAATATATTTTCATGTGGTTCGTCGTGACGTGAATAAAATTGTCCAGGCAGTCCGCAAAAAGCGCGAAAAAATTACTGGGTTATAACCGCGAAACTGTTTTTGCGTTATTCGTCAGAAAAATTGCAATAGTGGTGGCGAATCACGCATCGTCCGCATCAGTGTCAAACGAGCGGAATTGATCGATCACGCGTAAAACGCGATTATCGGCCAGTAATTTCGATCGTTCAAATTCACCACGAAGACATAAATTTCTGAAAAGCAAATTATCGCCGTCGAATCTAGATGTAACGTCTTTATCAGAACGAAATAATTTTATTTAACTTTATTTTTCCTGTTTCCGTAATTTTATCTCTTCGTGATGAATCGTCTCTAATTATCGTCTCTGTGCCTCTCTTGTGTCTAACTTTTAAAACATTTATATCGTAATCTAATAAACAAACAAAAAAAAAAGAAATTGCAATGTGATACACGTACTAATCGGCATATAATGCTATTTTCTTTGTTTGTTCTCTGTGGCGCCCGTTGTTGTATCCACCTGAACACCTGAAAAAAAAAAACAAAACCACTCACTGAAAAAAACCTCTCAAAAAATCTCAAAAACTCTACCTCCAGGTCTTGAAGGTACTAATTAAATCCTCCTTTAGCCAATTCAATTAAAAGCTTGTTCGAACGTTTGTGCATGCAAATTTTCTTCGTCTTTACTTCGTCTTTATCCTCACTAGCAGTTATCTTTCTTCTTTAATTTACAGTCTCTTTTATTTCTCTCTCATTTTATTTTTCTATTACGATTTACATCTTTCAGCTGCTCGCTCTCAATTATTTTTTTCCGTTCGTTACGTCTTTTTTCTGCTGGTTACTGTCAACGGGATGTGCATGCTTCCCTCGTTGCGTATCGTTGAGAGTCGCGCTCTTCTCGACAGAATTGAGCCACCGTAGAGCGTAGAAACTTCTTGATTACATCTCTAATTTCATACGACTCCATTACATGTATATCTACTCGTTAGTAAATAGATACTGAAATAATTTTGTTATCTATGGAACACGTAATTTCTATCTCCCGCGAATGAAATATCTCTGAATGCGAGAAAATAGCGGTGGCAAGTCTCCGGCGGCTCATTAAATAGAACGCGGCTCCTAAAAAATCGAAAACGGGAGATGTTTGCGCTTCAACGAGACGCATTGTCATCAGCGTGCTTCTTCTACTTACTTGTATCGCACTTGAATGTACGATTACTTCAACAATTAGAATTTCAATGATGATTAAGTAGAAATATTAGCGATTTGATGATCTGAAAGAATCTTTCTCAGATAATTATCTCTTTCGCGTGCATTCAGATTTAATCTGTCGTCCGATAATTTTGTCCAATAAATCGATAAAAACGGTTAGCCTCATCGGTTAATTTTGTTCTTATCTAACAGTGGTGCCTTTCACCCGCATGCGGAATTGTTTATTGTTCGAGCATCGATGTATCGCACGGATGTCTTGGTAGCTATAGCTGTTATATGTGTTACGAATATAAAAGTATCATATTTAGCCATAAGTAGAGATTTTGATCAGGAATTTATAAGCAATTTATTTTAAAACGAAAGTTTCCTTTGATTTGTCAAGTATTCTCTCTCCGTTTCTGTCACTCCTTCGTTTTTCGCCTCTCGGCGAAGGGAAACGAGACAAGACAAAATGAAGGAGACGACTCGACGGGCACCGTTAAGAAAAATGATATCGCACGAGATTCTCACACGAGACAAAATTAAATTGCCTTGGTGCCCCTCGTGCACTGTCGCAGCATCCCTCGCCTCGGCTGAGGGACGCATTGGAAAAACGATACTGCGGCAACATATCGGCTTATGGCCGATAAAAGTGACATTAGCATGCCACAGAATTAACGCCTGATTGTCGAGATCAAACAATGGCGGCGTGCACGGTTCGCGGGGCTCTGTGTGTAATATCTTAATTGAAATCTATGCTAACCACCAAATCCTATCGCGCACCATACCCACCAGACACCATAAGCTAATTAGATTAGATTTTCTCTCCGTAGAGATTCACCTACGCTCTATCTCTTTCTCTCTTTCTCTTTGCCTCTCTCACACACTCTCGTCTTTCACCGTTATTTTAACTGATTTACATATCTTTCCTGGCGTTTCCGCCCCACTCGCTTTTTGATTCTAGCCTTTCACTGTCTTTCTCTACTACTACTACTACTACTATCGCTCTGTCCTCTCTTCGTTCTAATTTCAATATTAGATACAGTACACGTATATACGCGTTTCCAATCGTACATGCAAATCTACTGTGCCCGGTCTTATTGAGCCGGGCTAGTCTTTGATTAACCTCTCGTACAATTTCCGACTTAGGTTTCCCGACATACAATAACACGTAGTTCAAATATCATCGAGTCGAATCTTACTGGTTTTAATATATATTAATCTTGTTTGTTGACCGCATTAATTTTCTCTGTGCACGCGAGTATGCGCAAAAGATAATCATACAGATATTATATTAATCCACAAACGGTTGCACGAGGCAAACATTTCTGTTTTGAACATTGATGTTCATCATAAAATGTGGTCAAACATTCGGTCAAAAGTTATTCATTAAATTTGCAGAAACTTTGTTCGGACATTCATGTAAATGTCAGTCGGTTACATCAGATACTAGATTAAATTTAGAAAATCCGCAAAACTCTTTTATATAATACTTGCGATACAATCTCTTAGCACGAGCGCTCGATGTATAAAATAATACTCACACTTATACTCACTTCATAAAACTTGTAAATAAAAATTTAATTTTATCGATATTTCACTTGGCATGTAATGTCACCGCTTCTTTTAGGTCACAAGATTTTTATGTTATAAAATTTCCCTTCGGCTTTGGATTTGTTTCTATCTCGCAAGTTTTTACATTACAGCAGTTGCAATTTAATCTCGATGTGAAGTTGCTTCTTTGGAAATGTTTGACTGATTAATATTAAAAATTTCAAATATATATACATTATATATATATATATATATATATATATATATATATA